AACAGGCTTGTGTTATTGTTTCATAGTTCACTCACTTTTAATACTAAAATAAAACACCTAAACAGGTAAAGACTTGGAATCTAGAAACAAGATCTAAGAAGATATGAACATTATTTTCACGCGTCTGTAAGTAAATATATTAATTTATATGGCCTCGTTTGTGGGCATCGTATCAATAGTAATTTTACAGTTCCACGAGAATAAGAAAATTTAATTGGCTAAAACAAACATTATGGGAAATTATAGATTTTTCACCACATAGTTTTAATGGCCTGAATCATTCGTTTGGTGTTATCATCGTTAGTTTAACAACAAAAATATCTTACACGAAGCACTCATATCAAAGAAAATAATCAACGAGTTATTTTAAGTATCATAAAATAGGCCTATTTACTGAAATCCAGTTAACGCTTGCATTTAACTTTCTTTAAAAAAGATCGATCTTCTATTTTTAAATCATTGAATTTTTATTTTGCAAATCTTATTTCAAACTTTTCGACGTGATAGTGTTTTATCATATAAGGCAAGACATTACTCAGCATTGCTAATCTTCCAAAAATAAATGTACAGACTGATAAACGTTTCTAAAAATGATTATTATGAATTCAGGAAAATATTTTAAAATTGCTTTTAACTGCTTTGCAGAATTAGGTTTCTTTTTTTAAAAATAATATTTTTACACTTTAAGCCAGTTTTAAATTGTATCAAAAATCAAAGAATAATCAAACATATCTCCTCAGTAATCTATCTATATATATAAAGCAATGTCTGTCTGTCTGTCTGTCTGTCTGTCTGTCTGTCTGTCTGTCTGTCTGTCTGTCTGTCTGTCTGTCTGTCTGTCTGTCTGTCTGTCTGTCTGTCTGTCTGTCTGTCTGTCTGTCTGTCTGTCTGTCTGTCTGTCTGTCTGTCTGTCTGTCTGTCTGTCTGTCTGTCTGTCTGTCTGTCTGTCTGTCTGTCTGTCTGTCTGTCTGTCTGTCTGTCTGTCTGTCTGTCTGTCTGTCTGTCTGTCTGTCTGTCTGTCTGTCTGTCTGTCTGTCTGTCTGTCTGTCTGTCTGTCTGTCTGTCTGTCTGTCTGTCTGTCTGTCTGTCTGTCTGTCTGTCTGTCTGTCTGTCTGTCTGTCTGTCTGTCTGTCTGTCTGTCTGTCTGTCTGTCTGTCTGTCTGTCTGTCTGTCTGTCTGTCTGTCTGTCTGTCTGTCTGTCTGTCTGTCTGTCTGTCTGTCTGTCTGTCTGTCTGTCTGTCTGTCTGTCTGTCTGTCTGTCTGTCTGTCTGTCTGTCTGTCTGTCTGTCTGTCTGTCTGTCTGTCTGTCTGTCTGTCTGTCTGTCTGTCTGTCTGTCTGTCTGTCTGTCTGTCTGTCTGTCTGTCTGTCTGTCTGTCTGTCTGTCTGTCTGTCTGTCTTTTATGCATTACCATACCTCTTATCACATCGCCGTGAAACTTTGGGAAGTTGTTGAGAATATTCCTGGGGAGGTTTCTGCGAAAAAAAAATTTCAAATTCGCAGGGATGGCGCCCCGGCAGGGCGCGATTTGTTTTTTCTCTATATACGATTATAAAAATAAAAGTCGATTTTGGTTTGACACCAGTCATCCGATCGCCATCAAACTTAGGTGAGTTCATTATTTTCAATAGAAAATGATTATGATTTCTCTATATATAGTTGACGGCATTCGAATAAAATAAAATGTAAAATATTTAAAAAAGTGCATGGGTTATACTTACGTCAGTAAGCTTGAAGATTGGTGAAGACAAAATAAAATAAATGCTTTGATCGTAGAAGAATTCCTTTCAAATCGAAACAAGAATCACAGGAAATGACCTCTTGTAAATAAGAAATGATTTAGTTTTATTTAAATCAATTCACTTTAAAAAAAAAAGACGATTCAGAGTATAGGGTGTTGTATTGCCCCGGGTGTGGAAGTGCCCCGGGTCACACAGTGTGAATGGTTAAACTATTCGACATAAACCAGCTACATAATATTTCTGATAATTATTAGACAAATGCTGGTTTAATAATGCTCTTTATACAAACTATTACTTTTGTAACTCTCCGTTCAAGTGAAAGATGTTTTCATAAAAGAACACGATCTAATTGATTTTCTTTGATATACGAGCAATTTAGTGCGCACACAAGTAGGCGTGGAAAGAATGTTAATCGACCGGCTGACAAATATAACAGGGAACTCCTTATTTTAATACACTGTAGGAGTGCCACATTTCTATTGAAGGAGTGACGTATATAGTACAATCCCTACTTGTAAATCCCGCAAATACTGGCTAAAAATAACTGTTTGTGCTGTTGGACTCTCCAGCGAAAGGATGGGACAGACTACTTAAAAGTATATATAAAAGCGTAGTAAGGAGGCGTCTATAAAAATGTCACACTTAAAGGTAGTATAGGGGGGGGGGGGTCGGAATTCAGTGACGATGTGTGATGAGGGGATGGGCAGAACCTGTTACATCGGACTCTTGCATTTTTAAAAAGTAATGTTAAAAGCTGAATTTTAGCGCCAATATTTCGCGTTTTTAAAATCTCTTTTGTATTAGAAATTAATATACTTTATATCGACCGAGCTAAGTCAATATATTAGAACAAAATTGATGTTTTAAAAAAATATTGCACTGCAATTTGAGGGGGTTGTAGGTTGAAATGTGTCGCCATTAAAGGGTGGGGTGGTATTTTGTGACGATGTGTGACGGTGAGGAGGGGGAGATAAAACCGTCCAAAAAAGGCGTGACGTCTATTATTGTTTCCTCCACCCCCTACTCTCCCCCCCCCCCCCCCCCCAATCCATTGTAGAAAAATTAAACTTTTAGCTGCAGTTTGGAATGAAATGCTGTTATATTAAACCCGTTATTTCTGTAATTTCAACTCTGTTTTAATTTAGCTAAAAGAAATTTCATGTTGTTTAATATATTAAACTAAATATTACTAGAATATATGCTTATGGATTTTACGGGTATAACGGATTTAAAGATTGTAATTGATCACAGAATTTTTGTTAAAGTTTTCTGTTTATATTCAAGTTTTTGTGCGGAGAAATGAAATGTGTGTGACGAAATAGAATGTTGATATTTCGTAATGCAGATATAGTGCAATAAAAATGTAGTTCTATATTTATTGTAAAATAATTATTGTTTATTCGAAATTTATATTTCAATTATTTTTCATTTCCATCCGAAAAAAAGTGTAGATTAGGCCTACAGTTGCACTTCATTATTAATGTTTAAAATATCGTTTTCTGTTTAAGGCCTTCATCTCACAACTCAGTGATCAGGCTAATCGACAATAACTGTGTTACACATTGGGATTTCCCGAAACTATCTGTCTATAAATTTAAAGCATTGATGTGTAACTCGTTAAAATAAACTCGTGTTTTAAACACAGACATTACACAAATACACACATCATTTAATCAACTCACATTTTTCATGAAATTTATGATCATGTGCTGTGTTTTAATGTTTTAACTTTACTTGCCAATAGACGCAGTAGGATATCAGTGTTTAGTAAGCTATATAAATAGCCAGTTATTTTCCTTTAAAAAAAATGCGCAGTAGACTAACCTCTTATACATTGGTTATTACTCACCATTACATTTTAAAAGTGTATTTTAAATAAAATGTAAACTGGTACGTGTTATGTTCCTAGTTCTTAGTAAGTGAAAAACTTAGTAAATACGAAACAAGACAAGTTATATATTTTAAACACAAATGCAATGAGTCAAATGCTGGCTACATAATTTTTTAATACACAAAATCACATTTATTTCGCGACAGTATGTTCAAAATTAAATTTAGAATTTAAAATATAACAAATGATATACAATAAAGACGGTAGCTTTTGACTAATATTCTCCTTTACTAGATGGCGATCCAAGATGTAGATGTACTTATCAAATCCTGAGAACCACAACACCTTGAACATAAATTTGATATAATAAATCATATTTGGCTTCTGTTTTAAATAAGAGACTATTGTATTCTCATGAAAATTCTGACTTTAAAGTAATACGTCATTTGATGCCGTTTATAGGCCTATACAAAGATCATTTACTTGTTGAAATTTCAAAGCAAAATAAAGTATATTTTATGGTACTTGAAAGCATTTCGAACTCATACATTTTGTTTATATGAATGTTAAGTTTGTGCTTATAATTTAATATATAATTTAGTATAATATGTATATTTCATTAACAACTATTCATTCAATTGCATCATTAAAAACACTCCTGCTACCATTAAAATATCACCATCTATCAATCTACTTCTGTAGGTTTAGTTATGGTTGCTGGGAATACTAAATGTATAACTACAGATATAGCTAATAAGAAATAAACAATATGATCAACACAAAAACGCCCTTTTAAAATAAAGTAAATGCAATTTATAACAAGTAAAGAATAACAAGGTAGGCCTACATTATGTCCTATAGGTCTATTGCTTGTCTTATGTATAGACATGTAAGGTAATATGATGGTTAAAACACTGAAAAATATAGCAAATCGTTAGTTAATTTAAAAACAATTAAGATTCCAATGTGTTAAAATGGTTATATTGAACGTTTTATTTTTACAGTTTTTGTACATCAGATTTGATACGGTTGTAGGCATTGATGTGTGCTATATATCACAGTTATATTGGTAGTAAATGATACTACTAAAATAAGATAACTAAAATAGTTAGTACTATGTTAAGTGGTAGCTTTGAGCAAGTGCTTATTAAATCACAGAGGTATTAATTGAGATTAGGCTTAATCTTTACATAACAATATAAAAAATCATGTATACTGAATACTTTTCAAATAGCATGTGGCGTTAAAATGAACCACTCAACAGCATATAGCTATTTTTATAATTAAATGGAGTTGTAACATGGCTCATAATACATTAATAAACACATAACATATTCCAATGCTTAGCGTAACGAATGCACATTTTTTGTACATGAAGGAATTAAAGTAAACCAAAATAAAATTATAATCTTTTACAATGTCTTTAAATATTTATTAAGTGAAAAACGTCTTGACAGTGGCCAGAATCTGTTTGTTACAGGCCGGACAATGTGTCAGAGACTTGGAACAGTCGCCACAAGCGTAAAGATCACCACACGGCAGGAACAGGTCCTTGATGGGGGCCGTCCTGCACACTTTACACAACATTTGTTGTTTCAGAGTCTGGTTTTCCTTGAGAAGTAACGAAAGCTTTTTCTGGTTAACAGTTGCACTATGGCGCTCTAAAACAACAGAAATTATTTATAAGTTGATTCGACTAAACATGTGTGTCACAGACTGTATTATTAGGTATCTTTATTATATTGTGTTTTACATGAAGTTTCATGAATGTAGAGTACCTGGCTATCGGAAGGACTGTCTGAGCGATTCGTCATGTATTTTTCCATGCTTTTGGGTGAGATCGCTCATTTACGTAAGGGGAGAGAATGGACCGTATAAAAGGGGGCGCAAGGTGAACGAAAGGGGCTTGGACTGTGGCTGTGAATATGAAGTAGGATGTCACCACGTCACTTTGATTCGTGATTGTACTTGTACCAGTTGTTTATCTTCTACTATGGATTTACTATGGATTGATCATTTCACTGTGTAAAGTGTAAATAAAGTTTATAGTTTAAAGTTACTACTATTGCTCGAGTTCTTGTATCAAAACGAACCCACAACAACAAGGGATATTACTGTTGTTACAATGTGATTTATGTATTCTACCATTTTAATTTATACATTGGGCGCCTTTACAATTAATAGGGTTTTTGTTATGCGGGATGTATGGACATACACGTATACCAAATCATAAACGGTAACCCGATCGCAAACATTAATTAAATGTTAGGGTTAAGTACAGATTATTCAATAGAGAATGATCCTCTTAGATTTAGGCTTACACAATGGGGTATCTTTGGACACATAAATGCAGTATGACCTAATTAGCTTTTCGAACTTGTTTATACGACTACCACGTTGAAAACTGACTATTTACTGATGATTCTTAATCAATATAATTAAGCTTATCAATGACCCCTGTATGAAGCTTTCAACGACACATAAAATTGTTTTAAAAAGTCTAACTTTTCAATTATTGAAAGACCTTTAGTAAAGAACAACGAGTTAAACGACAAAACAAAACACATTATTATTTTTGTACTATATGATTATTGTATAAATCCTTGTAATATGTAGATCTCAAGAGACTTCAAATGGTGTATTAAAATAATATGTATGTGAATTAGCATAACAATAGCGACCAAGATAATTAGACATGATAAAGACACGGCTTTAGACAATATCTTACCGCCACCAGACGCTTCATTAGTCTGACGACCAACGCCTTCACCACTCACGGCTTGTGTGACACTGTTAGCGTTTTGGGAAGTTTGAGAACTATTTGTTTGGTCTACCTGCAGACCAGGTGTATCTGATGACAACTGAGGTTCAACGTTTGTCGCCTGACTGTCACGTGAATCAAGGGATCTCTGGCTCCCAGAGCCGTGACCAAGTAGTACGTGGTTGTCCGCTACAAAGGAAAGATAACAAATCTCACGGCTCCTGGCATTGTTGCAAAAAATTCTGGTGTGCTTTAAGCAAGTCACTCTAATAATTAACAATATTGAAATGAATTGTTGTGTGCTTTAACTAAGCCAATCCCACAACTTACAATATTGAAGCTGTAACATCAGAAACGGACAGTTTGGTCTGAATTTTCGGTGCTGCTCCACAACATCGTCTCCTGCTTTCCACGACTTTAATCCCAGTCCACATTGAAAACAGCGGACACAGTCAGCATAACCTGACAAGTGTTAAAACAGAATTAATCTGGTTTGAATTAATCTGAATGCAATTATCAAAAACTTTTTTCTCTAGTTTTAAAGTCAAGTCAGGTTTAGAAGTTACCTGCGTAATAAAACCCAGACTTTGCGAGATCTGGTGGGCGGTGGGTGTGACCAGCTGGCCATTGGCCAAAGCTGTCCAATCTCTTTTGTGTTGTGATGTAAGCAGGGTTGGATGGGTGACCAGCATACCTTCGACCACTTCCCCCAGCCCCAGTGTTGTGGTGATGTTGATTGGCTGCAGCTGGCTGGGATGTCCCAGGTGACGTCTGATCTTCTTGTGAGACCACACCTGAGCCTGGCTGAGTGAAGCGACATCCACTCCCGTGATACTCTCTACCCTCTGCCGCTGGCTGGGAGGTCCCAGGTGACGTCTGATCTTCTTGTGAGACCACACCTGAGCCTGGCTGAGTGAAGCGACACCCACTCCCGTGATACTCTCTACCCTCTGCCGCTGGCTGGGAGGCCCCAGGTGACGTCTGATCTTCTTGTGAGACCACACCTGAGCCTGGCTGAGTGAAGCGACATCCACTCCCGTGATACTCTCTACCCTCTGGGCTGGACGTGAACGCCGTTAAAGCGTGAGATTTGCTGCAGCCTTGACAGATGACAGACGAGGTCTGGGACGAGTAGTAGAACCCAGCCTCGGCCAGTTCTGTTAAGTATACGCCTGTCTCCCTAGAGGAGATGATTGGTCTAAATGTTGCTAGCCTTGAGATCTCCGTTTCAAAGGTTAAAGGATATGCCAAGATTTTAGATGGACATTTGAAATGTTTTGAAATCCATTCATATAAAAATTTAGAACGTTTGGATGTGTACGTTTTCCTCAAAGAAACCTTCTTTACATTTAATGTCAAACGACATTTTAAAAAGCGTTTAACAAATAGAAGATACAGAAAAATCTGCGAATTTTTTTGGTTACTTTGGGTGATAAGCAAATACAGAAAGAAATACAGACTGTTCATAAACATGTATATACGTAAAACTTCAAACATAAACATAAAATTGTTTATTAGATGGTGTAAACAAAACCCTTGTTTACATACTCAGTATTAAGTCTGGAAAATATCTAAGTTAAATCTTTGAAGATAGTTTCATCAAATTTCAAATCACTGTCTTCAATTTTATTGTTAATGATTTCAACGCCTGAAATCATCATCAAGTAAAGGGTGAATGCTCTCGATGAGTAATGAATTGAAATTCTGGCATATGAGCCAAGCATGTTGGGTGAAAAATAGAAAATGTTATGTTCGTATTCCGCTTCATTAAGATATGAGTAACATCTCCGTTGTCAGTTTCTGAAAATATGTGGATATAAAGATTACTTCATTGAAACAAGCAAGTGTTGAAGTCGTTCAAACTGAATATTTGATGGTTACTGTTGAAAGTTGCGTTACACTTTGATCTACGTTTTGCATTGAAAAGTATATATTTTTCTGTTGTAAGTCTAAACACTTAACGTCAAAATTTTTATTTTAACCAAATCGAAAATGTTGTATCCAGTACATTACAATAATAAATTGCTTAAATTGCTTTATAAAGTACAGTAATCTGTATTATTGATATCGCAATTGTAGATACACGCACATACACACACACACACAGAATAAACAAGCATCTCAGTCTGTGTGCGAATGCATAAGTGTAAACGCATCTAAAGTATTGGGTATACACAATGAGTTAAAAAGAGCAACACATGATTGAATGTTATGTGAGTAATTATGTATCATATAATCAAAATAATGTAGTATTCTTAACGGTTACTAGTAATATCATTTATAAGACAACATATTAGTGGTGTTAGCCTTATAAAAAACTCGTTTTTCTCAAGATGATGCTCTTAAGAAACTGGAATTTCCCGCTATTAGTTGTAAAATTTAAAAAAATCAAATAGGCCTACTTACAGAAATTGAAATCCATGAAATATAAATCAAATAGATCAAATAGACTTACATCAGTTGCAACCAGTTTAGAATGATCAATCGTAAAGCAAAACCTATTTTCATCGACCTAATGTGTTGTGACTGAGTACAATTTTCTATAGTTAGTAATGACGGTTTTGAAGTAGGTTATTAGGTTACTTACGTGCGTAGTTTACTATTATTGTTTGTGAACTTTGTCGTATATTTGACCGATATTAAAAACAGACAAACACGTTCGCACTTTTATATATAAAACATTATATGCATAGCAATAACAAACTAATAACAGTTTCGCTGTCTGTCTGTCACTCTGTCTATCTATCTGTTGGGAACGCTATAGAGAAAACACAAGGAAAGTTAAAACATGCACAGTAATACAGAAAACGGAACGTTAAATCACATGGAACATATAGTAGGGAAGAGTCTAAAGCCGGGAAAGTACACACAATAATATGACGTCATTGATTTTCGAATAAACATGCCCAAAAAATACCCAATAGTAATGACGTCATCGATACTCTATAACAGGGGTCAGCAACCTTTTGAGAAGGAAGAGCCAAAAGTTACAATTTACCAAATATCCCAGTTTTTTAAGAGCCAATAACACTTTTATTTCAATATTATGATATTTGATTTAGATTATATATATATATATATATATATATATATATATATATATATATATATATATATATATATAGCTTAATATAACATCTATACTAATAGTTTCGCTGTCTGTCTGTGTATCTGACAAGAACGCTCTGTCTGACAAGAACGCTCTAGAGAAAACATAAGAAAAAATTCTATCTGACAAGAACGCTCTAGAGAAAACACAAGGAAATTAAAAACTCTCACAGTGAAACGAAAGACGAAGTATGACGTCGACACATTTAGCATAGAGTTGAAAATAATCTCACGGCGGAAAGTGCACACAGTAATATAATGACGTCATTGATTATCGCGTAAACATTGAATAAAAAGGAAATGTTGTCTAATCTAAATGGTTTGCGTGAAGAGTTTCTTGCATACAATTCTTCGGGTAGGGGCGAAGCCCCACCCCACGCGTAGGAACGTCTGAGCCCCCCCCCCTCCCCAACTCAAAAGAAATTTCTTCATCGATACTCTATAATAAAATTACCGCCTAATTAATGTTTCTAATCTAAAAAGTGGTTTTCTTGCAATTTCTTTAATGCAATTCTTTGGGTAGTGGCTAAGCGCGACACCAGTGTTTCTTTCAGACTTTTTCCTCCCCGGAGAGGGGTGGGGGTAATTGAAATTTTCGGGGGCGGGGGTAGAATTTTCGGGAAGGGGGGCGGACACTGGAAAAAGTATATAATTATATTTCGTTGAATGGGACGGTAGACATGATTTTTTTGGGAGTGGGGGGTAGGGGGTGGGGGGGGGGGGGGTGGTGGTGTGTGTGTGTGGGGGGTGGGGTGGGGTGGTTTCCTCATCGATACTCTATAATAAAATTACCGCCTAATTAATGTGTCTAATATAAAAAGTGGTTTTCTCGCAATTTCTTTAATGCAATTCTTCGCGTAGTGGCTAAGCGCGACACCAGTGTTTCTTTCAGACTTTTTCCTCCCCGGAGAGGGGTGGGGGTACTTGAAATTTTCGGGGGCGGGGGTAGAATTTTCGGGGAGGGGGGCGGACACTGGAAAAAGTATATAATTATATTTCGTTGAATGGGACGGTAGACATGTTTTTTTGGGGGTGGGGGGGGGGGGTGGGATTGGGGGGGGGGGGTGGTGTGTGGGGTGGGTGGGGGTGGGAGGGGTGGGGGTGGGGGTGGTGTGTGTGGGGGGGGGGGTGGGTTGGTTTTAGTTTAGAGAAAAGAGACAGCACTATCAACCTAGCGCCCGGTGTATCCTTCCTCAACGGGCCATTTTTCTCGTTAATACTAATAGTTTCGCTGTCTCTCTATGTATCTATCTATCTATCTGTCTGACAAGAACGCTCTAGAGAAAACACAAGGAAATTAAAAACTCTCACAGTGAAACGAAAGACGAAGTATGACGCGGTCACATTTAGCATAGAGTAGAAAATAATCTCGGTAATATGACGTCATTGTTTCTCGAGTAAACATTGAATACAAAGGCAATTTGGTCTAATCTAAGTGGTTTGCGTGAAGAGTTTCATTCATACAATTCTTCGGGTAGGGGCGAAGCCCCACCCTCGAGAAAGAACGTCTGAGCCCCCCCCCCCTCCCCAACTCAAAAGAAATTTCTTCATCGATACTCTATAATAAAATTACCGCCTAATTAATGAGTCTAATCTAAAAAGTGGTTTTCTTGCAATTTCTTTAAAGCAATTCTTCGGGTAGTGGCTAAGCGCGACACCAGTGTTTCTTTCAGACTTTTTCCTCCCCGGAGGGGGGAACTTTTTCTAATCTAAAAAGTGTTTAGCGTGCAGTTTTTTTTTCAATCATCTCTTCCGGTAGGGGCGAAGCCCCGCCCAGATTCTTCCTTTAGTTTGTATGATCTACAAATGCGAGCGACCAGTGTTTCTTTCAGACTATTTCCTCCCCGGAGAGGGGTGGGGGTACTTGAAATTTTCGGGGGCGGGGGTAGAATTTTCTGGGAGGGGGCGGACACTGGAAAAAGTATATAATTATATTTCGTTGAATGGGACGGTAGACATGTTTTGGAGTGTGTGTGTGGGGGGGGGGGGGGGGGGAAGGGAGGGGCGAAGCCCCCTCCTCCCAAGTAGAGTTGCCTGAAAGAAACTCTAAATGTGACTTTTGTCATGAATGAGATTAGGTGCATGGTTTAGGGATATGCCTATGACTATATTTTGTATAAATTAAAGTACCGAGAAAATAGAACTATCAACCTAGTGCCCGTTGTATCCTTCCTCAACGGGCCATTTTTCTCGTACTTTGTTTCATATTCATGCAAGAAAACGCTTGCTCGCATTAATAATTTACCACTCTCCGTGTCTTCAACAAAATGAAGTAATTTTTTTTAAACAATCATCTTCTTCAGCAAGATATAGGCTGGGTTTTCCTTTCCATACAGCTTTAGATTTAGCTCGCTTAGTTTCTTTGTGATCTTCACCAGGAAGTTGAATGTTGCAATTCAGGATGGACAAGTTAATAGGAAGTACATTGAAATATGGCGTAACTAAATATTCTAATAGAATAGCGAGTGTTCTAAAAAGTGCGATAGACAATGGATAAGATAAACTGAATCAGGCATGCCCGCCTGTGCCCTGGTAGGTTTCGATTTCGCTGAGAACAAAAATGTCAGTTTCCGCCCCAAAAGGCTCACATGGGCCGCTGAGGGCCGTGTAATAATGTTTTTTTTAATAATCAGGTATATTAACCAAGGTCAGATTATTAACTGGGTTCTTTCCTTTAGTCCATAAAAAATCCAAAGAATTCCAAAACTTACAGTTCTCAAAATAATGAAAATAATTCCGTAAAAATATTAAGTTTCGGAGGGCAGCTCAAATCTAAACATTAAAGTCACAATTCTAAAAAAAAACTTTGAATCCTGAGGAAATCTTGTTGTACAGTTTCGTCACATTGCGAATGATGCATTTAAAAAACGAGCATCTAATAATACACCATTGGTTACGCTAACAAATTACATCAGTCACACTGATGATTATAATACGTCAAATTATTTTTTTTACGTGTTAAAGAAATAAACACTTTGGGGTATAGCAACTCCTGATATAGAAATGATTTTGAATTTATTTTTACTTTCTCGTATACGAAGTATAGAGAAAGTATTGTAATCGTGCAAAAAGAAAAATCGAGATTTTTGCAAATCTCGACGTTTTACACCTCCCTGAGTCGAAAAAACATAATTTTGCTATATTTTCCGTATGTCTATGTTTGTATGTGTAAACATGTAGAGGGGGGGGGGGGGTGGAAGCAGGAGTTGTAACTGAAATAGCAATATAAACAGAAAGTGATATTTCAACGCCAAGGGTAGACAAGGGTACAGAATATAATCCAAGTAAAGACAGAACAGTCAGAACCCAACGTTATCCGAACCTGCCATTCCGCACATACTGAGGTGTAAAACCATGAAAACTGTCATAATTTCATGTGATTTTTTTACACGGTTACAATACTTCTTCTATACTCTGTATACGAGAAAGTAAAAATCCTGTTGTGTCACTTTTGCGAATGTCGTAATGTGCATGATTGTTTCAAGATGCTATTTGGCGTTCTGGTTTATCCTGTGAGCACTATGGCGCCTATGTTAGTTTTAAGTAGCCCGGGGCTTTACACGGCGCCTCTGCGGTAGTGTATTCGGGGGCTCCCGAGAGCGATCTTCTACGTCCTTGACACATGGGTGGTCACCGAAGTGTGTTCTTTCTCACTATTACGGTGACAGATTAACATACACTCAAGGTTATCATGCGATAGTGTAGGTAAACCAGTGTCCCGATATTTATGATCCAAGCGCAGGCATTGTTTATATTTGAATATCTCAGTTTTAGAAAACAACGTCACGCGTCTTAGAACATAGAATTGGTAACACATTCATAAAACCCTTCTTACATATTTCGTCAGACTTTCTTCTATCCCGGCGGCAACGCGCGGGGACGGGTATGCTAGTATATATATATATATATATATATATATATATATATATATATATATATATATATATATACATACATATATATATTTATTTATTTATTTATGTATATATAATTATGGAAAAAATTTGAACCCCCCTCATTATACGATCCTTACTACGCCACTGATTACAGTACATTCAACATACATATGGCTTTAATTATACAAAGATATGTAGGCTTATCTTTTTACTAGAATTTGACAAATACACAAATTAGCTTATACAGAAGAGGATAAAATTCGAGCTGAAAAAGTGGGCAAATGTTAACAAATTAAATGGTTAATATAAATATACCCATTAAATTAATGTTTCTATACGCACAATATGAATTTAACTATATGTCAGCAATACTTTTTAAGCACGGTCATATAAAAAGATAAATGTAGGCACTACTTACAAGTGTTCTCTGTAAGATGTTTTACACTTATCTGTGTAAAATAAATGACGTGGTTCTATTTTTAAATTTCCAAGAAGATATTACGTAACTGTCATGTAACCGACATATTGCAAGTAGTGCCAACACGTTCCATAATG